TTGTCTATGGTTTTATGACGCAAAATTTCTTTGAGAGTTATCAAAAGAATTTTTATTTTTTTAATCATTCAAATCATCATACGTCCGAAAAGAGCTACTTTAAAAATTGTTGAATTCCATAAATCGCTATCACATCGCACTTTTGAAAAGGATAAGATAGATTTTCAAATTAGACCATTAGCTTACGGATAACACCTTTTTTGAGGTTAAGATACGGGCCTGTTTGAATGTACGTAAGTGGTCGTCGTCGGGTGGTATGTCATATATGTACCTGTATATGTGTGTGCTGGTCAAGCAGCCTGGTGGCGGCCTCGTCTCGGCCCAGATCTGCATACTCCTGGGCCCGCTCCCTCAACGCGTGTACGGCCCGCCGCCTGTCCTCCAGCTCCTCGCGCAGATGTCGCAGCTGCACGCGGTCAGTGGTGGCGAGCGCGGCGGTGATCCACGCGTGCAGACCCTCCACGCACACCTCCCACTGCGCAGCCTCGCGCGCGTGCTCCTCCACCACGCCGATGCGGGCCACCGCCTATTATACACGTGCACGTACAATCAACTTCACTTGAGACTATACAAAACTGTCAAAATTCCTCACTCTATTTTAAACCTTTAATATATTGAGGGTAGAGGTCAAAACCCAAAAATTCTACAAATTGTGGTAACATGATATGCAGCCATGTAAACTATTATACAAGTATACGATATCGATCTAGATCGACTCGCATTTGAAGAACGGATGCTAAAACTACATGAAATTCCGGTCCTCGTTTCATGTTCGACCCTAAACGTCCAAAATAGAAAAAGTAGTAAGTATCGGATCAGAGAGTGCGATCTGAAGGCCTGCTGTTTCTTCAAAAACGAAATATCATCTATTTTTTAAACTCTAATACAATTTCAAAGAAAAGCTTTTTTTCGGTGATTTATAATGCTTAATTTATAATATAGGTTACCTATCTATAATGTGCAGATAATCTTTACATACTAGATTTTAACATAATAAGAAAAGAAAAATAACATATTTTCCGAATTTTCGTACATGGACAAAAAGATCCTATGTTCTGTAGATAGAATATTACTAACAAAAAAAACTCAAGTCTTAAATATGAATAAAATAGATGTTTATAAAAAACAACGACTCAAAGATTGAAAAACAAAAAAAAACAGTGAATACATCTCTTTTTTTTTTGTCTGGACGTAACCGTCAAACTATACTGTAACAATATTTGTTTACTCATGTCGAAACACTAGCCTAAAAATAATATTTTCCTATAATCGTGTTGTATCCGAGCGTACCTGGGCGCGCAGTTCCTCCGTCCTTGTCTTGAGGTTATCGAGCTCAGCCTGTATGTACGCTGGCATGATGTGCGCGTCCACCAGCTGGCGGCCGATGTCCTGGATGCGCGACGCGCGCGATGAGTCATGATTCTGGAGGTAGCTCTCCAAGTCCTGCTCACATATAATATCTGCTGTGATTCATCTTCCCAGACATTATCCTTCTAGTTTAAGAGTTCGTAACACATGTGAAACAGCTTTCTAAAGCTTGATATTTTAGTTTGTTGAAGAGTATATTTCACTCATTCATAACCCAATGCGAGGGTCAAGTGCTGTAACACCTGGTAGCGACGGGATATTTTAAAGTACGAAAAATCAAAACACATAATAAAGGTGCTTTTTAAATTAAAGAAAAACTTAACCTTTATATAAAAAGTGACCTAAACTGCTGAGATGCCAGAAACGTGAAACGTGGCGACTCAACAAATCTCAGAAGTTGGTGTGAAAATGAGCTCCGTTAAAAGTAATGGTTGAAAGTGGATTTATTACTATATTATTTTGTAATGGAACAATAATAATATAAAGCAATCGCTAGCAGCTTTTTTCACGCCTCCGCCGCCAGATGTTCCAGCGTCTGTGCATTGGGTATTGAGTGATGTTTACATACTGAAATATCAAGTTTGAGAAAATCCTTGCACATTCATTTCACGAGCTCTCCGTCTATTCACTAATGGGTGGATCGGTTTACTTACGCCGAGCTCGTCCCACATCTCCTCGGCGTCAGCTCGCGTAGAAGAGCGCGTCAGTCTCCGCTGTAATCCGTCCAACCAGGCGTTTTCCTGCGCTAACCACGCTCGTAACTCGCTCGTCTCATGCCACGCCTCCGCCAGGACCCTGCATAATACCCATTCGTTGCATAAGATCCACATCAACACGGTTATATCTACCAAATTATGCAAGGAAAATAAGACTGATGGGTTTGTCAAACTGCCATCTTGGTTCTTATCGCGTTTAAACTTCAAGATGTAAGGTGTACAAAAGGATCAAAAATATTTTTAATTATAAATTTACTAAATAGTCAACTTACGGTTGAAAATTTCAAAATCAATCATTAGCGGATGTCGCAATAACTATTACTGATATAATATCTTATAAGTTCTAGCAAGTTCTAAAATGGCGGACTTCAGTCGAATAATATATTTTTCAATGCAGTTGCTCATAAAGCGCTATTTTTTTAATCCATTGTAAACACCGAAATTGAGTCTTAAAGACACGTGTTAAATAAAAATGTACCGAAATCCTTTACTGCGCCCGTGCTTAAAAGTATTTTTTTAATTGTTTTTGGCCGAGCACCAAAGTAATTAAAATAAATGATGAAAATATGTCAAACTTTAGAGGCAAAAGTATTTCAAGGAGCCTAGAATAAATGTTTTCAAATAAAAACGTATGACACGAAAACATGTCCAAATATCACGTTTAACAAATAATTTTTACCTTTAATACATACTTAGTTTTACTATATATATATTTGTTTTATTTCCTCGCAAAAAGCATTAAAAAATGTTGTAAGAAACTTGAGCGTAAAATGTTTTTCGATTTCGTGCCAATGAAAACCCTCGCCACGCTCGTGTTTTCAATTTGGCCCCTATTCGTAAAACCTTCGCACTCGTATCTTAAATATAATGTGTGCGTACTTGTATCGCTCGTATACGCCGTGCGTGACTGTCGTCCACCGCGCGTTGAGATGCGTGAGTCGTCGCGCCAGTACCGCGGGCCGGGTCGCCGCCGCCACTAGTACTTCATGACCTGTACTCACAATACAAATATCACATGTTTCATAATACCCAACATTCTTATTACTAATACCCAACCCTACTCGTTCAGTATCCTATTCACTTATAAATTTGACTGTCAGTCATCAAATTTTATTCATTATCATCAACAATCTCGATCATACTTCCAACCGATTTAAACAAAACTTTCCCTGTGAGCCACTCTAGACTTTTAATGGATTATAAAATGAATTGCAATGAGGAAGTATTTAAAAAAAACATTAGTTCCCGAAATTAAACTAGATGTCGCTACGGTACTTTCTTGATTTCTCCATGACAACTCTTCCGGTTTTCTTTCATGTATAAATGTAAATTAGTTTTCAAAACTCTATAAACAACTCATATTCTATTGAAATTTTTCGTATTTGTATTGATATCTAAGTTTCGAACTTTGCAAATTTCAGTTTTTTAATATGATAGTTAAAAGGAACGGAAATTACTATCTTTGGTCCATTCGTTTCCTGCAAAAATCAACTTTCGCCATCTAGTGGAGGTGCTTTTTTGGTGCTTTCTTTTTATTTTAAATACTTCCTCATTGGAAAAATCCTGCATGTGTTGAAATTGACAGACAGACGCGACAAAAAATCTTAGTTTCACAATTGTGTAAAATTTCACATATTTGTAGTTGACGTTTTCACTTTTACGTTTTATTAATTTCATAATCCAACCTCCAAGTATAATTAAATTTTCGTTTTGCTTATTTTATTCCAGGGTCCCACCGCCTACAAAAAATTGATGTACGGTTAACGATAATACATGAATAAATCAACCGCTTACTTAATCTATAAAACAAACCTTAGAATATTTTTAATTCTCAATAAAAACAAATATCTAAAATGAGAAGCCGTCATCTCACCTGTTTCGTTGAGGTCCCGGAAGTCCGCGGTCCGCGCGTCGCACTGTTCCTTGAGCCCCTGGAAACGCGTCTTCATCTTGTATAGCTCCCCGGAGTCTCGAATGGCACATTCCTCCTCCGCGGGCATCCTGGACTCCACCTGTCCCAACCATGTCTCCATCTCTTCGATGTTCCTAAAGATCTGTTCGCTTTTCTCTAGCGCCCGCCGCAAACTTTCGTTCACCTTAAATGCCTTGACGGTGATCTCGTCGAATCGTTTTCTCAAATCTTTAGTCTCCGTTTGGATTCTTTTCGACAGTATATCCTCGCAGTCTTCTAGAATAGTCTCTTTTGCTTGATCTATCGCTTTGAGTCTCTCGGAGTAGTCTTTCTTTTCTTCGTCGTATTTCTGAATAGTAAACATTTTTTTTTATTATTATTGAAAAATACTATAAGAAAACTACGGACATTTAGTTAATTCTATTATTATTTTAATAGTGATACTTAATAAATTAGGCAAAGTCCCGGTCTACGAATATTTGCATTTTGGGTAAACATCAAAGGAGATTAAAAACAGCTTTAAACTTAAACATAATTATAAACAAAAATATTCAGTGTTATGAAGCTTACATTGCTAGTATCGAGTAACTTATCCAATTGTTCCACATCTCCGACTGGGATATCACCGTTCTCATTCACGAACGTCTCCACTGTGTCCAGCCATATTCCTACATTTTGCATGTCTTCTTCGAGTCGTTTCAAAAGATTTAGACCTACAAATATAATAAAATATTAAAATCAACTTCAGCGATCAATATATGTGTTGTATGCAACCTTTATTAAGAACAAACCTGTCTGTAATTTTCCAATTTTTTGGTCTAATATAGCGCGCGAATCACCAAACTTAGTGACTAGATTCTCAACACTACTCCTAAAGTCCAACTGTTCGAGGCTGCCCTTCTGTTCGGTCTGTCGTCGTTCGGCGACCACGGTATCGTAAGTGATCTGCATCTCATCGAACTCCCTCCGTAGTTTCGTGAGTCGGTCCAATTCATTTTCTGTTTCGTTAGTATCGGCGGCGAGGAGCGCGTGCTCCTGCAGTATCTGACTCTCCATCGTGACTATTCTGTTTCGGAGAGCGTCGAACCTCGCTCGGGGGTCGTCAGTTTTCCGAGCGAGTGCAAGTTTGATTTCCCCTTCTTTGTCGCTCAGAGAACTTAACAGGTCGTCGTAAGTTTGCTTAACGAGCTTCGCTTCGCTGTCGACGGCATCCCGCTGCAGCTGAGACAGGGGTTTGGTGAGGAGAACTATAGCCTTGGCCGCCAGCTCGTCTAGGGCGGGTTTCATTTGTTTGAGAGTGCGCAATTTATTTCTGAGATGTATAAGTTGGTTTGCAGAGGGCGCCACTCCCTTCCACTTGTGCCTCCAGGCCTCTATCTCCTGCAGCTGTTCTCGCAACGGTCGAGCTCGTTGTTCCAAGTCTTCCTTGTCGTTTATCGCACTTAATACGCCTCCGGTGTCCCGTAAGCTTCGTTCTACGATTTGGAATCGATCGGTCGATCCTGGGAACAGAAAACGAATATCATATTAATTGAAAACATTGATATTGTCTAAAGATTGTATATTCTTTGTGGTGAGCTTTACTATCACATCAATAACAAACACACGTTTATTACGCAATAATGCAATTTTAAGTCAGCACTAAACTCCAGCCAAATTCGATAAGGAATAAATGTAAACAAAGCAAATCTGTAACATCTAAGTTGTGATGACCCTCATCACAACTTAGATGACAAAAAAAATATTTCTCACCAGGATACTGCACATTACTTCGTAATTTTATGAGTAATATTTTAATGCCATAAATTTTAATGCCACACAGTGTGAAAGTTAGGTATTCCTTTCTACTGTTTAAAACGACAAAATCATTTTTTCTTTTTCATATAATAATATATCTATAGCATTTATAGCATTGGGAATTGATTGCATTATTTATAAATAGCAAGCTTATAAAGTATTAGTACTAATATAAATAAAACAATCGGTTTTTCTCTGATTTTTGTTTACATATGACATGTGCCTTGTAATGTAAAAACATTGCACAGTAGAATAAAAAGATTAGGTAATTTTCAAAACACTACTATATAATTCAATTGCTGAATTCTATCTACATTGCTTAGAATATTTCATAAAGTAGTATCTCGAAATGGAAAGAATATATATAATGTTGTCTAGTTAAGAAAGGTTATTTATATCTGCCTGTCACTGGTTACTAAGCAACGCCTTGTTAGTAAATAATCTTCATCGAATTTGGCTGTAGTATAGTTCTTTTTATTTATTAAATAATTTTCAAAACTCCATGAACTTATTTTTTTAGAGAACTTATATTTTTTGCAACTTGGAAGGAATAAAGCTTATATTAATAAAGCAAACAATTATATAACTGACCCTGTGTGGTGTTCCGGCGCGCCTCCAGTTCTCTGTTAATGCGGTCCAAAGCTTTCGTCGCCTTCTGTCGTCCTTCTTCTGTTTCCATATCTTGTTTACACTAGATGTAACATAAGCTCAGTACACACAAGCGAAACTTAAGCGGTCATTCAACATGTTACGATAACGACATTTATACTATGTTTTTGGCATACAAACATCATTATTATTAGTTAACACTTTTTAAACATATTAATTTAAGATTTATTGGATCGATGTTAAATTTTGAGTGAAAAGTTTTCATTAGAAAAAGCTGTAATAACATAAAAAGAAAAGTTACTCGTTCAATTTCCTGGAGGGATTGTTCTGCCCAGGTTTCGAAGTCATCTGGTTCTGGTTCTGGTTGTGTCGTTTGTTGTACCGTGGGGTCAGAGAGTCGCGGTTTTTTAGAAGCGCCGCGAGGGGGTTCCGTTTCGGATCGATCTTCTGGAGGTATTTCGAATTCGAAGCCCAGTTCTTTAATCTAAACATGGAATATTCATAAACAGTTAAGTTTTTATAAAATTTTACTTTCGTAAATTTTTGGAAAATATCTACAGTGTTTGTTTGTAATGTTAAAATAACCGCTTTTTACTAAATACATTTATGCATACACGGTACATATACAAATGTCATATTTTTTTCACATTTTGTGTGTCTGTTAGTTCTGGCTAATCTCTGAAACTGCTGGACCCATTTTGACGGGACTTTCACTGGCAGATAGCTTATGTAATAAGGGGTAACTAAGGATAATTTCCACGCGGATGAAGTCGCGGGCACAGCTAGTATACATATAAATAACCTGAGCAGAGTATGTGTACGTGATATATTGATCTTACCCGGTCAGCTTGTACGGTGAGTATAAGGTGCAGCGCATCGAGCCTATCATGCAGCGCATCGGCGCGGTCGACGAGGCCGGCGCGGTCGGCGCGGTCGTCGCAGTCCACCAATAGTTCTTGCACGCGGGCCGCGTGCTCCCCCGCAGCCGCCCGCTGCCGGGACAGCTCGCCCCGTACGCGGGTCAGTGCCGCACACCGCTCTGGCACCTCACCCACTGACCCCACCGGATTCGCCTCCATCTGGCATAGCACGGTCGCCGAACAGAGACAATTTTGTAGATTACAGTCTTTCACTCGAGCTCAAACGTATTGTTATTGGGCTCGCACAAGTGTATCTACCCAATTTTGTCATACTAGAGTGAACCTAAAATATTTATAATATCTATCAGGGGGCACAAAGGCACGTACGAAATTCTCTGTTCGGTGACTGTGCTATACCACCGATACACATCCAGTAACATTAACGAACCGAAAAGAAACGGGGCAGAGGACAACTCCCAAAAACAGAAACCGCAACATAAAAAAAGATACAGCTAAAATGGATGTTAGCTAGATAAAAATTAAAATAATATATGTATATGGACGACTAGGATAACCATGAATTATATTTTTTTTTTTGTCCAACAAACTACTAGTATTTTTTTTTATATCATATTTAACGCTTTATAAAAAAATAAATTCTACTCACAAGATTTTATTATAGCTAGATCCCCCAGCAGCCATGTCATATAATGCGAAAACTTCCACATGCCTATTTTCATAGAATGTAAACTCGGCTTAATTAGAGCTATGCTGACTTTGCCGAAGCGATTAATAAAGTTCACCATAACTTTAACTTTACCCATTAGAATTGTCTAAATATTTACACAAATGACTGAATTTACAAAAAAGCTATCTCATCTTATATCAATGAGGAAGTATTAAAAACAAAAAAATGTTCACGAAATCAAACTAGATGTCGCTACGGTACATTCTTGATTTCTCCATGACAACCCTTCCGGTTTTCTTTCATGTATAAAAGTAAATTAATTTTCAAAACTCAATAATCAACTCGTATTCTTTTTGTACTTTTGTCCCGAACTTTGCAAATTTCAGTTTTTTAATATGTTAGTTAAAAGGAACTGAAATGACTATATTTGGTCCATTCGTTTCCTGCAAAAATTAACTTTTGCTAGAGGCCACTTTCATTCATATTTATTAACGTGAAAACTTATCATGCCTCTGCTCGCTTTAGACGGTACTTCTACTCTGAACTTTAAACTACCTACATTGGCTAAAATTTAAAAAATAACATATAAATCTTTTTAAATTTTATATTTATGTGGAACTTTAGATGTGCAAGCTTTGGCTGTTAATTTAAATTTAACTATTACTTTGAATGAATATATGTATTAATATAAAATATTATTATTTTAAGAAACAGTAAATGATAAATATCTCAATTGATACAAAAGTTTCCATTTCATGGGTGTATTACCTGCTTGAGCTCGGCCTCGAGCGCATCGATGTCCTGCAGCAGGGTCGCGTGCTGCTGGTCGAGCTGCGTGCAGCGCGCCTGCAGGTCCTGTAGCCGCTGCAGCTGCTGCAGGGTCCACTGGCACGTGTGCGTCCAGCGCTCACCCAACGCCGTCAGTTCATCCTCTATCTCCGTCACGGCTGCTTGACAGACGAGATAGTCATTAATCACCCGTTTCGAGCGAGCTATAGTGTATATATATGTAATAGCTTTTCACCAGCGGCTTCACCGCTTGGTTTCCCCGTTTTTCAAACAATTTTATTGTTGCTCCTCTCTAATTAGCTACAACCTTGTCACCCGTATCAATGATTTTTACTCTTTTTGACCCCACCAACTAATTTTGATATAGGGTTTTCAAAGGCACGCTACGCTATTGGTACATAGCGTGATATTATATAGCCTTCCTCAATGAACGGACTATTCAACACAAAAACAATTTTCGAACTTGTTTCTGAGATCAACGGGTTTAACTATACCAACAATCAAACTCTTCAAGTTTATAATAGTAGTATAGATACTAGCTTTCCGCTAGCAGCTTCGCCCGCTTTGTCCTTAGGGAACTCAGGCTTAGAATTATTAACAAATTCCATCAAAATCCGTTCACAAATTTTTACGTGAAAGTGTAGCAAATCTGCATAGATCCTCACAAACTTTCGCATTTACAATATTAGTAGGATACGCACTGTGATCCGGCTCTGCCTGGTCGTCGACCACGACGACGCAGTCGGCGAGCGCGTCGACAGTAGGCTGGTGGCGGCGCAGGTCCGCATGCAGGGCCTGCAGCGCGTGCAGCTGCGCGTGCACGGCGTGCGGCGCGCCCGACAGCCGGCCCATGCGCGACATGCGGTCCTCCGTCGCCGTAAGCCACTGTCTGCACAAATAATACACGATCTCACATCACACACCGATCAAATAAAATAGTTATAGTGTTTAATTAAAAATGGCAATCTACCGCAACAACCTAAACATCGATGGAAATACGCTCACTAATAACGAAAAGTAATAAGTGCTTGAAAATTCTTCATTCCTGTTGAATGTAGATAATCGAGTCCTATTTCGGGCTCTGGGGATGGTGGATATTTTAAGCATTTTTCATTAAATATATTGCGAATACAATTACAGCAGATTGAAACAAGATAATAAAGTGATTGTGTTCTGTTGAAATTTAATGATTATAAATCTTATAGGTTAAAACGTCACATTGCTGTTTGTTTTCGCAGGCATTTCAAATGAACGAATAAAAAAATGTTCTTTCTTTATTTAACAACACTTTTTTGAGAAGGAAAAAATCGATAGTGGTTTGATTATGATTATGATGTTAACAATTTAAAATACTTTTCTCCAAACAGACAAGTAGCAAATTATTTCGCAACAGAAGATATCGTTATTCGTCGCGCTCCAACCGGAAATTTGAGGCAGAAAAACTTATAAATATATAGGACTTGGTTGTGGTGTGTGTGACCTGAACGTCTGCAGGTGTTCCCGTTGCGTGTGCATGAGCGTGTGATGCAGCTGATGCTGCGCGGCCATGGCAGCGTGCCGGAGCGAGTCCCATCGCTGGTTGAGTAAACGCGCCTGCAGCCGCACCTCCGCCGCCTCCTCCCGCGTCAGCCCACCCGAGCCCAACAGTCGCGCGCCCCCCTCAAGCACGCCTCCCACCAGCGTCTGGGCCTCCGACAACTCCAGGAGGAAACGCTACACACACGGATAACGCATACGTGACACGTTTTACTAAGTTTTGAAAAAACACCCAATGTATTTACTAACGAAACTATTTGACATGATATGATTGTCAAACCAATAAAGAACACTGAATCGAGCACTATTTACATCATCAAAGACAAGCAACTAAAGAGAAGTTTCTTCAAAAATCCACACAAATCGTAAAGTGAGGAAAATTATGTTAATTAAGTAAAATAATGGTGCAAATGTTGATCCCTGCGGCACGGTCATAGTGATGGTGGTCCACTGCATCCTTTGCTTCATTAATTACAACTTTTATAATTCTAGCAGAAAGATGTATGATTTTATTATACCTAATGAACTTTTTGATATACCGTAAAACTTTTCCAAGTGTTTCGTGGTTAACGCAGTCAAATGCTTTTGACAGATCTCAAATAATACCGATCGAATTCTATATTTAAAAGTGCAACTCCACAGCATCTACAGTACATTTACTTTTAGTTAAACCAAATTAATTTTTATGAAATTTATTTACTGGAATGTGTGGAAGCAATTAATTGTAAATGATATTCTCAAATACTTTACTTAGCTAAACATGATAATAGCTAGATTGTGAATGTTTATTAGTTTATTCAATCGCACACATTGTCATCAATTCCTTAATAACATTCGGATCATGGGCGTATTTATAGATATTTCTGAAGGGCGGAGATTAGAAGATGCTTATGATGAATGAAATAAGAAATTGAGTTAAAAATGGCACACTTACAACCTTAATTCAAATCAAAATCACAAGTCACAAATTCTGAATATTTACGCCATCGCCGAAAATTTTCCAGTTAAATAAAAAACCCAGTAATAATCACGCTAGAAGTAAATATACAAGGTGTTGTGTACCGACCTCGTGTTGATGGAATCGTTCTTTGAGCGCGGGCAGGTCGGTGGGTAGCGGCGGACAGGCTTGCAGCCGCTCCTCGGCCTCCAGCAAGCACGCCAGCGCCTCCTCCAACGCCAAACTATATCCGCCCACCTCCACCGATGCGCCCGTACCCGATGACAGCGGTCTTCCCCCACACCCGCCTTCCGTCGCCTCCGTTTCACCCGCCTCCCCCGCCTCACTCTCGCCCTCCCCCGCTGCGGGCGCAGCGTCCTCTCCCCCGCGCGCCACAGATTGAAACACGCACATGAGGTACATCATGATTGACTTCTTGTCCGGACTCGGCGTGTTCACGTCTAAAAAACATCAGCTCGTTGTAAGCCCTTATCGGGAAGCGTTGCCTAACTTCACTCGTTTGGCGTCCAAATGGTCCGAGGAAATGGTATTCTATAGTTCGTGATCTGTATGACACAGAATAATACCAGAAGGCAAAAAAAAAAATGATCGCATATAATTTTTGATTCATTTAACTGTATACTGACACAACTTTATCAAGAAGGAAGAAGTCTTTTCTTTATTACTAAATATGAAGTTGAATATTTTTGTTCTATACATATACTACATAATGAAGTTTTTAATGTTTTGATAACAGTAATGCTGATTACCCTAAAGGGATTGATTGGCCATTTCATGACTTCGGACTCAATTACAAACCTCAGTGTGCCCTAACCCATTATATAATACTGCGATGATGCACTGATTTATAAAAATGAATGTGTTCTGCAAACCTTACTCCTTCAAATTACAGCGCAATGCGAATCAACATGGTTGTTTGACAGTCCTATTCTTATTTTGTTCACATATTAATAATTTGTACTCACCCTCGGGGTCTAGTAGTCTCGGTATACCCAGGTGTCGGTTGGCAAGGTGGAAGGCGTGCTCTAATCTTTGGGCGGGCGAGCTCTCCGCCAAGTCGTTGAAATTGAACAAATGCGGCCGCCACCGATGTAGCAGCGCGTTGAACGCGAGCCCATCGCTCCATGACGACGTGAAGTTGCGCACGTTCACACCAGGATAATTCTGATACAGACAAACACATAAACGAGCTATAATAAGCCTATTCTTATATTTTTTCCCTATTTGTATATCTCCTCGTGAAATGGAAGCGATTCTTCAAATCTAGCAATTGAATAGGCTTGTGCCCTATTCAGTATTGCTTTTCTAAAAGTTTTTCTCTACCATAGCAAGGCGTGATGTAATTTTGTGGCTTGAATTTGTAGGGAAACTTTTCAGCCGACTAGCAGCAGTTATTGTGTACCGACCTCAACTTGCATCAGCAGCACAAATATAGCACCATATCTCCGAAACTATTAATTGCAGACATGCTGTTACTTCTACACATATGTATGTATAATTCAGACAATAATGGACTATTTATTTATTTATACAAATAAAAGGACTCGAATAGCCTATTTTAAGGCAATTCTCCTCCAACGTTTATGCTGATATTTTGCATACAGGTTTAGATGACAATACACGGTAAACTAAGTTACAGAATTTTAAATATAATATGGCGAACGGCTTAAATTATTTTAGGTAGCTTTATTTTTTGTGCACTGCGTTATAAAATGAAAAGGATTGACAAGAAAATATGAAAATAATATAATTATGCCATTCTAAATCTTTAATATGGAGGACGAAGTATCTTTAAGCGGTGTGTACCTGTGTGTGTGTGCGGCACCAGGCGAGCAGGGTCTTCTCGAGGTTGGTCTGCTGCGTCTCAGTCATCAGCTCGCGCAGGTGATACTGTACCTGCCAGTGCAGGATTATACTCCACACCAGTCCTGTCACAGAACACGACAGGTTACTCGAATGCAAGTTATATCAATTTACCTGCACAGAAAGCTAATTTTCGGAACGCGGCAAATTTTGACCAATCAGAATAGACAATATTTGCTTTAAACGATATGGAGGTATATATGTATATCCCAGGTTTCATTATCGGTCGATCGAATATTAGAAAATTATATTTGATATTTGTCTCAGCGGTTGTGATAGCTTTGTTGTTCTGAATTTTTATAATTATCATCAACCACTTTACTGGACATTGGAGCAATGTGCATGCTAAGACCTGATCCAGTGCGACGCGGATAACTTAGGCGGATGTCCGTGGCGGACGATAAAATGTATGTTTCCTATACAGTCCATTCAATGCAATGCAGAACTGGAGCGGAGCGGAGCTCTTACAAATTTACCCGCGACGAACCCATCTGCCCCCTGATTGTCTAATTTTAAATCTATTGCAATCGCTTTCAGTTTGAAAGGTGTTGCACAACCATTGCTGCATAATACAAATACTTTTTTTTCAACTGTCTTCAGAAACAAGCAATGGTTATACAACATCTTTCAAACCGAAAGATTTTAAAGTTAGACAATTAGGCCCCTGGTCTGCGTCGCACTGAATAGCGCCTAATATTTCTTTATCAGTTATATTATACGGTTTAATGAGACCCTTTCAAATACTTATAAAATATTTATCAGTCTTAGTTGTAATTTAATCTATAATAGGAATGATTTGATTGTTTGTATCAACTTAGACTCAGAAACGACGGGACCCTTTTTTAAAATTCTTTCACCGACGGTAAGCTACATCATACGCGACATAATGCTATAATTTACGCGGGCAAAGTCACGGGAAAATAACTAGTCCCGAATATCATTACTAACTTCTTCTTAGCGACTTGGCCCGGTATAAATAATATTATATGTCACTCGTGTATGATGTAACTTCCTGTAGTTGAAATATTTTTTTAATCAATACTAGTTTCGAAACCTATTGGATATAAACCTACAATCAAAACTTTATAATATGAGTACAGAGAGTTATGATTAACCATATGCATAATGAGGACAAGAATCTCTAGTGTTACCATAGTTCTTTAATCAAATATTACATGTCATTACATTACATGATATAGAACTGACCGAGTATGAGCTTCGGGTTTCCATCGACGATATCGTTGCTGCTGATGTTGACAAGCTTGACGCCGTTAGCGTCGAGCACCTGCAGTGCCGTGTTCACGTTGTTGATCTGGTGTACACGCATACGCCCGCGCTCGCGTTTCTACACAACACACATATAAACTGAAACACCTTTTTTCCCGTTTTCTTTCTAATCAAAACGCATATGATCAACCCATAAACGCACTCCGTTTTTTTTTTGGGAAAATGGCCTGGACACACAGAAACATCTAATATATCAAATATCTCATCAGAAACGTCTCATTCAGTCATATAAATGGTGTCCTTTCTTGGCGATATATATATATGTCACTGACTAAAAAATGTAGTGATATAATACATAATGATAACAATATCAACTATATTAAGGTATTTATCTGAATTATTGTTAGCAATACAAATCATAAAATTAACATCATGGTTCACATCGGACTACTTTTGTGTATATCAAAATAGACATTATAAAACCCATTTATAAAAGACAATATGTGCAATGTCTCAAAGAATCTGTGCATTGTATATAAATAAATAACACCATAATAACAGACAATATAACTTACACAAACAATAAAGATTTAAAATAAATCGAATAAATTGTTTTTTATCTGTCACAACACGTTTCATTCAACAGTAAATATGCGTATGCGGGTCATTGTAACCATTACATCCAACAATGCCCATATTCTTAATTCCTTAGATACTCACAATCAAATCTAATCATTAATACTTAGTATAAAAAGAAGTCGCCCCCGATCTTCTAAACTACACAACTAATTTTAATGCAGTTGCCATCAATATGCTGAGTAATTCAAGAAGAAGAGTTTACACAACTCTTCCTCTTGAATTACTCAGGACAAAGCGGGCGATACCGCTGGCGGTAAGCTAGTAACAAATCAGGGAAAAAAAGAAACGATATGATAGTGGTAAGCGCGTTTAGTGTACGATTGCGAAGATTAAGCACCTTTCGTGAAGGCCGACCATTAAGTGGTGACCAAATATTCATTATCTCCGCCGTGTTGTGTAAAGAACGTTAATGGATTATGAACGTTAATGGGCCGTTCTCCTTATATGATTCTATTTACGAGAACGCCTGTGCCCAAAGACTGGGGACATTAATACGCTGATGATGACAATGTCAACATAAAAAATAAGCCGTTAGTTGGAACGCTATTTAAATCGAGGATTTCCGGGCATTGAACTACACTACGAATTATGTGCGATACGATGTACCGAGCGATATGCGTAATTTGCCACAAGCCACAAAGTTTGATATAAAACAGCCTGCTCACGTATTGCTGGGCGGTGAGAATTTCCAGCAGCGAAAGCAGCACCTCACCGTCGCGCAACTCAGCCACCAGATCCTGCACCAGCGGTTTGTCGTTCTGGAAAAACACAATCATTAACCTATTATCAACGACAACAATATCAGCAAGAACCTGGTAGAAATCCCTCGCTATTTAAGCAAGCATACATTTTTCTGTGAAATTATTGCTATTTCTTTCCAGTCGAGAGCACGGCATGTTACCTACTGTAAAATCTTAATCAACAATCGATTTCAAGCCTTTACCTGTTATCAGTGAATTTCAAAATAGATTGCAGAAACTTGACCTTTTGTAGTAACTTAAACGATGGTATGTGCACATATTAATTACAGTATTATTATTTCGATAAACTCATTGTCGTCATTATCTACCTGAAGGAAGGAAAACTTGGCAAAAAGAAAACCTATATTTTGATATTACACAATCTTACACCAATATTGACAAGGGAGCAACTTCAAAACCTTTCCACATCTTAATGCATAATAGTTATTTATATATTTTTTGGGTATTTTGCTTAATTTTGAAATTATAGATAATTAATTCTGAATTATTATAATTTGCCAATAGATCCATGAATTCTTAGTGTTAAGTGTGCAATTATTAATATATTTTTTTCTGCTGCTCACACTCAATCACTACTCTTCAAGTCTAGGAGCCTAGTGCAGAGATCACTGTAACTGAACACTATTGGAAAATATACATTAGATATTTCCAACTAAATTAGTGCGGTATTATTTTTTTATTACTACTGCATCCACATAATATATCAAAAAATTATTTCTGTATACGTATACAGCATTTATAATAAGTATTCGAGGCTGAGCTATATAAAACATATTTGGTCAGACTACCAAAACAAACGTCGCACTCTATTATGTTAATTTCAAAATAATCGCTCATGAATTATTGTAGGTGGGGTCCATTATTTACTAGACGAATGTTAAATAAACTTAGCATTGCCATTGAACAACAACGTGATGTAAACGTAAGTGTGTTAGACAAGTCCAAAGATCTATTGAAAACAACTGTTGGAGCTAATTAACATAGATACGTGTAAGTAGTATTTCAGCACGACCAAAAACGACATTGCCCTTAATTTGATCGTATATTATAACTGTTGGTTCAACGGTCCGCCTCAAACACCACATTCGTAAACGCAATCAACAACACGTTAAGTTATATATACAACAGTGGTTTCTACAATCTATTTAATGTTGATAGGTAGTTAAGTTTACAAATCTGGTAACCTGGTGTTATAGTTGGCATACGGAACATACCTTCTCGAGCTGCGAGTTTATCCATTTGGCGAACGTTTTCTTTTGCACATCCTCCCGCTCATCTGAAATTAAACAAAATTTAACTTAAACTTTAACAAAACAAAAATTAATTACACGCCGCAAAATCAACAGTCTTGTGTTAATCTACAATGAAAAAATATTTTACACGAAAGTTCAAATGATCCACATTTGTACGCACATTCTGAAACTACATGTTCCGATTGGAAAATCACTTCCCACGTCTTCAAAAAAGTTAACATTACATAAAAGCCATCAGTTAAGTCATCTATAACACTTAAGTTCGGTTTTTTTCAAGATATATTTGTCTGTGTAGTACAAAATGTATGAAAGTCTGTAACATCACGCACGGTCCCTGAAAACTGTGTCGTTTTCATGTATGGCGCGGACGCAGGCGCAGACGCGCGGGTGTGTCCCGTTAGCCACGCTCTGACGAGCTTATACACAGTATTGTTCCTGATCATACATTTGAATGACTTAAGACCGACGTTCAGCAGGTCTTCAAATATTAAGTGCCGCGTGCATAACATTAGCTAACAGTGGACATACTATTCTTAATTGACTTTTTTGTAATATCGTATTATCTAATCATGAGACAAAAAGCGACAAAAGTATTTGGATGGTCCCCGTATGTCATATCGAATTTGCAGAGTAACGCTTACAGAACGCTTCTGTAATGAAGAGATAAGAAAGAGTTGACATGAAAGATATGTCGTCGGTTTAAAAACAAGCGGAAAGAATGACGGATGAAAGAAGCGAAAGTGGGAGGATGCAGAAGTCGAAGAAGGTCACGCCACGCGTAGGTAACCATTATAATTTTTTTAAAGATGTCATTATAAGCTTCATGGGTGAGGTAACCCATAAAAGCGATACTACCCCCTAAAAATGCAGTTGCAGAACGTAGCACGTTCTCGTTTTTCGTGGATTAATCGTGGATAAAACAGACGTTTCGGTAACCTTTTTTATAGTAAATCGGTAACCGTTTTTATAACCCTTTTATGTAAGGAACCCTTATAGTTTCACCTTTCCGTCTGTCCGTCCGTTCACGGTTAAAATAAAAATCTATTAATACTAGAAAGTTGTAATTTGACATGAGTATACACGTTAATTACGTCGACAGGGGTAAAGTAACATTTCTAACATAAAAACTATCTTAAGGATACCTCCACAACATGTAAAGTGGGGATGATATTTTTTTTCATCGTTCCAACAGTGTGGGGCAACGTTGGATAGGCATTTCAAAAGGAAGGCATGTTTCGATTAAGTAAATCGTTTGTGACTTTAATAAGTCAAATAAAAAAGTATTGATTGATAATATAAAAGATAATTAATATTAGATTCTCATTAGGTTCTCTCAGGTTGACAAAGTAACAACTATAAAATGAATGTATAGCAAAACTTTTACAATAACTAATAATGATTAATCAAAACTAGTGTTATTACATTCACTCCACCATCCTCTATCCCTATTTCCGGGCGCAATGAGATAAATAGGACAAAACGCCCACTATGGGATGAAACGGTACCATCCAAGAATTTGATACTTCCTCAAAAATACAAAATTAACACAATGCTATACTTAAAGATACCGATAACACCGCGCCTGTGGGTTTTTGTTTTTTAATAGGGACTTGTCCTGTGGATATTATTCATGAGACATACTTTAGATACCTTAACTCGGAGTAAACAGTCACAAGCACGCAAGTTTTTTGACACTTTTCAGTGAATGACCAAGACCGATCAAGTACCAATACAAATACCTCAAAATACTACTTGTTACTCGGTTCTAAAGTATCGATTCCAAAAGTATTTGGTATCCAAAGAAAAGTATCGAGTAAGTACTCGTATCGCTTCATCCCTACGCCCACTGTAATAAACCACGCGCAGCCCACAACTTACGGCCGCACGTGATCATCATGTAACACGGAAAATTTGCCAAGGCTATATTTCAAGTGCAATTTGCACCTTTTTTACGTTGAATTACTACTATGACGTAAGCGCAGCGAACACTACTTTTTGTGTTAAATATTTTTGTCTTTTTTCATGTATTTATTTATATTTTCCGTTTCGTCAAGGATATTGCAATAACGCGTAACCAACACTATAAAATTGGCTTTTAACTGCAAGCGTTACGTAAATGCAAGTGAACGAAGGGCTCAGGCTGCTGCGTGGGAGGGGTTGTGCTCTGGAAATTGGGCTGGTTCCCCTTAATATGTATTGTTATCTTGTTAAAAATAAACACTGCTCTTTAATCTCTATAATGTTTGCATTTACAATTTGTTACTACCACTATATGTAATGCCAATCACCGATAGTGGAAAAAAATTAGTGATATTTTTATTCGTCAGATGAAAAATCGCAACATGAGAAGAAATGGATTTTGTTTATTTTAGGGATGACTTCGAATTTTTTTCTATCGCGAAATTTATTTATTTTGACTGTGAAAAAAGCTCTAGAACTATAAAGTATAAAAAGTCAATATCTGAATAATAAACGAATAAAAAGAATTTCAGGTTTTCCCCTATACGTCACTGGAAACCCTCGCTTGCATATTAATTTTATGATAAATAAACAAATGGTATTAAATATCTCAAACTCAATCTTTACTTTACTTTATTTATTTAAAAGATTAAATAATAACGCCACTAGCAGCTCAAAATTCCCAGCTTATCGGATATTTTATTATTATGAGCCCTATTAATTACGGATGCAAAAAGCGCGCGCGGCCGAGGCGCCCATGAATGAACCCTGCCCCCTCCCTCCAACACACCACTACTGGGTGGTTCTCACTTGGCAAGTTTTAGCTGGTCCTGGCTTGAGAAGGCATTAAAACTTTAGAATATGCCTATTAATATAATTTTTTATCGAAACACTATGTGAGTATACGTACACTGAATCAGTTATCATGCATTTAACATTCAGCCAGTTGCACAAACGTTCATTAAAATTTTCATTAGTTTAAAGCGACATTACCCACACAAATTTGACAATTAGAGCTTAAAGGCGTCATTAAACCTTAATGGATGTTTGTGCAAGTGGCCGTTAGTCGAATAAAACAAATTTTTTGAATTCCTAAATCTTAAGCTCCTTGGCGCGCCGTTGCATACTTATTATTTTGTAGAGTGTTAAACTCGATTTTCAAATCAAAAAAGGCATACATTTTAAGATTTTAAAATGCTCATATAGTTGAAGCAATAGAAGATATACCTATCTCACTTTTCTTTAAAACCCTTAGTTTTGTAGAAATACACCAAGATATTTTGTCCGGCAAAACAGAACTAATTTCCTTGGCACGACAAAAACGTTATGAAATCACTACTTTTAATCTTATTATACTATTTATTATTTATTATACTATTCGTTACCCCGTCTCCCGCATCTCTCAGATACACTCCATTGAGCCACTAGAGTGGATGTGCGTAAGTACCAGGATCGACGAGAATTTGGACTCATTTGGACTTTGTCACGTAATTGCCTAATTACTTCGTTAGTCGTTTTTATATGTATTCATTGCTTGGTCTTTTTTTGTACACATTTCCATAAACAAATCATTGTACGTTCATTGTACGTTTTACTAAAAAGTCGACAACATTCATCAGGTTTCTTTTTAAAAATTGAAAACCAGTAATTTCTAATTTATTTACCACGATGTCGTCAGATTTCAGCTAATTTCTTAAGCAAATTGCGCCGAATAAATTAGTTTTTATACAAAGAAATAAGAAAAAATATTTATACCGTCAAATTGACAACACAAATAGATGGATATGAGGTGGTTAAGTTATCATTTAATGTCTAGAGAAGCTAAAGCTTATTGTTAAAAAGCCTGGTTTATTATTTATGAATTCTTAGTTTGTATACACATTCTAATTTCGTTGGCAACTTTAAGTTCTTTTGTTACCTTTCTAATTTCTTTGTTCATATTTGTAAGATTCTTGATCATTTTGTCAGTTCTTTGGACACTTTTCAAATTTTTGAATGAATTATAGTTGCTTTGGGCTACATCTAATTTCTGTGGTCACAAATATTTATAATCGCTAAAACTTTCATAATATTTCAACAAGGAAGGAAGCCTATTACAAATAATTATAGGCTTTGAAATGGTACATATTGTATGTTGTTTTATTTTTTTTATATTTGAAATAAAAATGCGCCCTAAAAATGATTCTTTTGAGAATCACCCTACTACTATACACCTGATGGCGCGATATATCACGTCCACGGTTCAACAACTTCTACTAAACTATTACCTAACATCACATCATAATCACTAACAAAACAGTTATTCGCTTTCATAATAATAATAATATCCATTTATTTACTCTTCATTGTTAGATTGATGCATTTGCCACAACAGTTTGTTTCATATTTTTCAAATCTTTTTACAGCGTGATTTAGCTGTAGCCGGGTTTTAGTTTCTGAACTATTTTATTTCTATCATTAACTTGCTCATCCTTACTGTGAAGAAACTGGTGCCAGAAAGGGGTATTTTTAAAAAACACGAGTCACCAGAGATATTCACTCTAAACTTAAAGAGTATTTTGTATACTTGTTTTTTTATACTATATTCCCTATACTTAAAAATGCATTAGGATTGAAAATTTTCTTTTTATCCCATCCTCATATCGACGCTGGAAAGCAAACACGTAGTAACCCGCAAAACCAAAATGGATATTTAAAATAGATAATCTTTATATTTTTTCAAAAAACAATATCTTATTTCTGTACAAATTGACTAAGGAGCACCTTCTTTGTTACCATGGATGTTTATAGGAATTATTTATCGAGTAAAATTAAAGTTTTTCTACTCTGAAGAACAATTTTGGTTTTGTGGGTTACTACGTGTTTGCTTTCTAGCGTCGATATATTGAACCAGCCCTAGACTACTGTACTGTAATATAAATAATCCATCCGAAATTGACGCAGTTCCAGTTACTCATAAATAATATTAATACAAAAATTCATTTCTGTGTAAAAAGAAATTTTCTGAGTTTAGACAACACTTACCATTCTTAAAATACCCACTTATGAAATTAGGGGTGCAGAA